AAGCGCAGGAGTGCCTTGTCCGAAATGGAACAATGGGGGATGCGAAGCTCCTGCAGGGCCGGGCAGCTGACGGCCAGGGAGTTGGTGGAAGGAATGAGAGCGGAAAATGCTTCGTCGTCAAGAGCCTTGACCCATTCGCTGCGACGGTGGGAGTTAACGATTCGTAGGTGCTTCATAGTAGGAGGTAGCGCGTGAAAGAGCCCCATGAGAGAGGATTTAGTGAAGGTCTGTGTTTCGATCTCGATGGTCTCCAGACTTGTTGACATCGCAAGGAATGGGGCGAAATCGACAACATTGCCTTCGGCGCGACCGAAGAATTCGAAATGGCGCAATTCTGGCAAGGACAAACGGTTGAGCAGGTGTCGAATGGTCAAGTCCACAATGCCGGCGGCAGTAATGTGGAGCAAATGGAGGGAAGGAAGAATGAGGGTCGAATTTTCGGAACCACCATCCGCAGCAAGCTGACTTTCCTCATTGTCGTTGACAAAACTTGGCATTCCCGAATACGGGCACACCCGGAAAGCATCTGCATGACTTTGGCACTCGTCAACATGTCCCTAGCAACAATCGGGTGAGGGTTCGCGATCGCGAAGGATGTCAGATGCTCCCATCGTAGAGGGAAGGAAAGTGGGTTAGAAGAGAGACCGTTGAAAGTGACGTTGGAAAGCCGTTGACCGCGAAGAATTCCAAAAGATCCCCATTGCGTTTGCTGCAGGGCTGAGGTACGACGTTGGCGTACTGCCTTTACCTTCAGGGTCTCCAGCATCGGCACATCCTTCTCGGCAATGGTGGATAGGATCTGCAGAAATTCTGTCGGCCCATGCAAGGAGATATGCTGCCAGCGGGATGTGAATGCAAGAAGAGTCTGGGCAATGGGCAGCGCGCTCGACCCGGGCGGTGCATCGGATGCGTTCTCGCTGTTTACCGATAATGATAAAGGGCATTGTCGAGATCTCCCCAACCAGGTCTTGGTCGTTTCAAGCCGCTGGGTAAGCTTTTCCTCGTAACCGGGTAAATTGACTATTCGGTGTCCGTCATCGGCAAGTTGAGATGGGCGTGCGGGAATAGCGATATGAAGGCGGGACCAAAGACGTGGTGTTGATAGGGAGATCATTCGCCATGAGCTGCATATGCGGCCTAGGAGAACAGGAGCTTCGAAGGCACTCATAACGCAGTCTCTGTGCGCCGGAGTACATGCCATGAAGATTTCCTGGATGACATCGAGCGGCAATCGCCGCACTGGGGAAATAAGAGCCCTGTGCGCATCCACATACGCACGAACGCTGTCGCGCTCGTCCGTCAGGTTGTCGATGGCCCTGTTCAATTCGGCGATTTCATCATCGAGGCGCTTCAAACGGGTAGAAGGCCCGACGAGGATGGCCCGTATCTCAGCAACTTCATCATCCCGAGGACAGTAGTTGGTGCCCAACTTCGAAGAGAATGCGGAGGGAGGCATTAGAATATGCGTCAGAAGATGGATGTTGTGAGGTCTGTCGTCTTCTGTCGTGCCCTGTAATAGTTGGGAACAGTTTAACAAGACGAGACAAGACGTGATATTGGTTGCGGACACCTCCGGCCCGGCCGGTGGCAATGATTCTTTCTTGCTTTCCCTTTCGCATTTTTCCAGCTGTTGACTGCGACTCCTCAACATTACTGGGTCCATCTACATCAACAACCGGAAGGCCCCGGGAAGCTCCACCAAAGGATTGTCCGCAAAAATCCCGAATTTCGGTCTCAAAAAGCCACGCGTTGACACCATTTTCGGCCTAAAAAGCCACTTTCGGACAGGGGTGGTCATGTGAGCGTGAAAATAATGGGGGTTTTTTTTCCCGGCGCGGCGCGGCGGGAAATACTTACTGCGCAGTAGACTATGCATTTTGTAGTACCTTGACCTTTTCCGATGGTATGGTCAGTCAGGTTTGGGCCCTGGGCTCCCTGGATCGGCCGCTTTTCGTCAGGTTTCTCAAAATCTGGCCTCAAAAAGCCACATTGGAGGACAGGGTCGGCCGACTAAGGACTTTGGGTCTAAAAAAGCCACTTTTCGGACAAGGAAATCGCGAATTTTCGCCCTCAAAAAGCCACTTTTCCGGACAATCCTTTGGTGGAGCTTCCCGGGGCCTCAACCGGATAAATGGGATGGAATAATGATTGGCACCGTTTTCCCAGTTCTCCGTCAGACTTGACTTGGAAAGTTGGACTTGACAGGAATTCTCAGATCTGATAGTAATTCACTGACTTTCTCAAATACCCTACCTGACCCCTGCACATCATGTACTAACCTTCATGGCCTTCCATCCTGCTCTCCACATAGAGGACATTTGCAGCTCCATCGTCGATTTTCTCTGCGACTCTTCGGCCGACCTCAAATCTTGTGCTATCCTCTCCCGTGCTTTCACCCTGCCTGCACAACGATACATTTTCCGCGAGATTAATCTCCACGCACCTGTCTCGGACACCCTTATTTCAGCATGCAGCCGCCTGTGTGCCGTCCTCGCTGCATCACCGCATCTCATTCCCTTGATTCGGGAAATGCGGATCCGCTTGGAGCGCGAAATTTTGACGCGGCTGGCAGGTATCACATTCAGTCGCGTGGAAAACCTGTTTTTTTGCGCAGCAGAGGACACCCTTCATTCTGAAGACATCACATCGCTAGCAGCGAGCTTGCTTGCCGGTCCCTCTGTGCGACGGCTCAAACTCATGTCAATCACCTTCGAGGATATGGCGAGCCTCCGGGTGTTGTTCGGACGGCGAATGACTCTGGATCTCCTTCAGTTGGATAATATCAGCGTTCATAGACCACCCTCGCCGCCTGGCAAAGATGGTGATACGAGCCAGCGCTGCATCACATTAAATGCATTGGAAATACGCGCAGACCCGAATTTTCCAGAGCCGACCTGGATCCTACATCCACTCTGCCCGCTCGACTTCAGCGTGCTAACAAGGATTGCGGTATTCCAGCGAACCTCAGAAACCATCAGGCAGCTTATCTACTTGGCACGGGATTCCTTGCATACACTAACAATCGACGGACGTACGCATCGCCCGCCCTGTTCACGATCATGCCATGTTGATTCTCCCTAGGATTGATGACGACCGATTTCCGGCTTGCGGACATTCCAGAGCTCCAAACGGTTCGCATCCACGGTGCCTTCAACAGTGCACAACTGCCGACCGCCATCCTCTCGTCCGCGGGCGCCAATAACATTATCACAGATATCTATGTTACAATCCACATGGTGGGAACATTGGACGATACGTCCCTGCTGCACTTGGACGCGACGCTCGCGACGCACCCGATGCCCGCGCTGCGCGCCGTCGACATATTGATCTCCCGCATTTCGTTCCCTTGGGGGGCGGACGACGAGACGGCACAATTCCTTTCGCAAATGGCACACCTCGGATCGTCATTTCCGAATCTGGATGCGCGCGGGTGTCTGCGGCTGAGCTCTATCGACGGGGCGGCCCCGTTTCTCCCCTCGTGAGGAAGCTGGCATAGGGGAACTTGGACGGCGGGGAGGATCCCAGGACCATTGACTGGCGGGTAGTGGATCTCCGACCGGTACAACTTCCGAGTTGGCGGTTGTGGGTCATTAGCTGAGGGGGATTTTTTTAAAAACGCTGGAATGAAACGCTCCTCCACACAGTACACAAACAAACTACATGTACGGTATGAATAACGCTACAATAAGACTGCCAGTGGTACCGAATGCAAAAAAACTGTCTCGGTAATTCCAGCCAGAGTTCAGAGGAGACGACGAGGCCTTGGTCCAAGAACCGCTGGATGCCGGCCGGATATGGACTTGCATGTTGCGATCGAGCTGAAAGTCATCCTCTGCAATGCCGGACAGGATCTCCCGACACGATTTCGATGCAGGGAACTAAATATGCTCCCAGCGGGATGCAAATGCAACGAGAGCCTGGACAACGTAGTGGGGGATCGGTTGCTCGTTCTCTACCGATATAAACAAGTGTGAATGCCCAGAACTCACCAACCAAGCCTATTCACCGTGAGCTGCATATGCGGCCCAGGAGAACAGGAGCTTCGAAGGCACTCATAACACAGTTTCGGTGCATCGGAATACATGCCACGAAGATTTCCTGCAGGGAAATCGCCACACCGGGGAAAGAAGAGCCCTGTGGCCATCGCGCGCCGTCGCGCTCGTCCGTCAATTTGTCGATGCTTTTCTGTATTCATAGTTGAGGCGCAAACGGGAGGAAGGTTCGATGAGCAGGGTCTGCATCTCTACAACTTTATAATCTGGAGGACAGTATGTAGTTGGTGCCTAGTTTCGAGGAGAATGGGGACGATATTTCAAGTTGATTCGGAGTTGAAATCCAGCTGATTGCCGATTGGGCTGATTTGACAGACGACAACCACACTTGGATGGATAACGTTCAGACGCAGGGCATATCCGATATCGTTCTCATTCTCGTGCTGCCGACAAATGGATGCCAACAAGAATTCGCCAACGACGTCTTTGTACTGCAGGAAGGCGGACTCTGTTCTCTCCGTATCTGTCGAGATCGTAGCAACACGCAGGCCTTGGTGCATAGTTCTTCTCCGAGTCGCAATGGGTCGAAGGTGCACCGACCACGGCGCGCTTTCGCACCGTCGACGTGCGGCCATTGCCGACCCTGGCTCCTGGCTACGCGTCTAAACCCTCTCTGTCACTTGTCTAATTCTAATTCAACCGTACGGAGCACCGAGCCGCCTGGCGCCCCTGGACGCAACTGTCGATGACGTATTGCGAGGTATGCGTCGTCGTCCCTACGAAGCCGCGTGCACTGGCGCGCAACAGACCCAGTCTTTGTTTCTTCTTTTATTTTCTTTGAGACGCGTGTCGGGACAGCGTCTATGCACCCTAACCCCTAGCGTCCGGATTGGTGGCGCTGGGGGACGGATTACTTCCTGACAATGGGTTCGATTCTTGAGGGTGCGGTGTTGGCGCGGAGATGTCGAGTAGGATGGTATGAGGAGAAAAAAGGCTCAAGCAGAAATATTTAGATGCAAGGAATCGAACCCTGAGCTGCCCGCCATTTTATCATTTCTTGGATAGGAAGAAGGGCCGTGTTACCACTACACCACATCCAAATCTTTTCTCAATAAATCTGAGGAGAAACGGAAATATTTTCAAAGGAGACCGAAGGGTTCAACTTACGAGTGGACGGAGAGGTTAAATGAAAAGGCACAGATCACTAACCACTGTCAATAGAGGAAGGGGGACGAGGAAGAATACTCTCGTAGCTGAAGTGGATGAGATCGAAGACTATAGACGGGTGTTGCTTGATAGCCCTGATCTACACTAGCCGATGTTGGCGGCGGAGGTATAGAGCGATAATTAATTTTCCTAATTCCGTGATCTCCTTTTACCAAGATTCGATGAGCGACCGGCGGAGTCTGCTCGTGCAGGCGGGCGACGGGGCACTCGCTCTGATGCGCTTCGGGCGTCGACGGCAGTCCGTGTCCGTCCGCCAGGCGGAAGTGCAGGTACAAGTACTGGCCTTACCCCATGTTCTAGATATCAGTGCACCCCCGCCGGACGAGGAGCTCGAGGAACGACAGCGTCTGCGAGACGCGGCGGCACAGAGCATTGGCTTGGGGCCAGCACTAGAGGCCCCTTCACCTATAAGAGAAGAGGCGGAAGAGGAAGAGGAAGCTGCGGAAGAATTGCCCTTGTTCCCGTCCTCGGTCAGCCAGCTCAAAAAGTGGAGCACACAGAGTGCGACACTGCCAAAATACTATCCCCCGCCGTCCCTCCGGATCTTTGCCCTCGCCAAGCAGTGGAAGCCACGGCACCTCCTCTTCTCTGCCTCCGCATCCATCCCTGGCGCCCATCTCCATCTCTTCAAGGGGCCCGCTCCCGACGACCGCGAGCTCGAGCGTCTCGCCATCGGCGCAGACAGCGTCGTCTTTGTCGCAGAGTCGTCCCCAAGTAATTCCCCAGACGGCGCCCTCATAGTAAAGGTCGGCGGCCAAGACGTCGGCGCACACAGGCGCGACTGGAACGCAACAGACGACGCGGGACGCACCGTGTGGCTACTCCACTGCCCCACTTCAGCCGAGGCCCAGCGCTGGATCTCTGCCATAAAAACTGCGATATTCGAACAGAGGTCCGTCTTTCTCTCTTGTTCAATTAGTTTATTAATTAACTCGTGCATAGGACGCAACGCGCGGGCCTCCCCGCCGCGCAAGCCGACCAGCAGCACCAAGAGCCGCGGGGCGACATGGACGTCATGCTCGAAATACGGCGCGGCCTGCACGCCCAGTCTACATCCTCTCCTTCCTCTATAGCATCCTACTCGTCCCCAACCTCACCGTCCTCCGCCCCCCCCACCCACACCTACGTGCCCTCAGAGCACCGTCCCCCGCGCACCCCCACGTCCCCCACCGCGTCCATCGCACCCACCACCGGCGACTCCACCCGCTCCCTCCGCTCCGTGCACTCCGTGCGCTCCGCACAAACCACACCCGCGCCCTCCCACTCCCACCCCCCAAAAACCGCCGTCGCGGCGCTCAAGGGCCTCTTCTCCCCCTCGGCCCCGCATTCCGCCGCCCCGGACAAGCATCGTGACAAGGGCAGCAACCGCCCGCGCTCAGCCTCGGCCGCGTCCGTCGGCGCCTCGGTGCGCTCCCTGCGCAGTCTCAGCCCCAGCGTGCGCCTGTCCTCCTTGTCGACCTCGACGACGGCCTCCGTGGGAGGGGGAGGACGCCCGGGCCTGACGCGCGCGCTGTCTGCCTCGGGCCCCAATCCGCACCAGGAGGACCGGGGGTCGTTTGCGAGGATGGGGAGCTTGTTGGCTGGGGGCGGGGGTGCCAAGAAGACGCTACCGATTGGAGAGCACGTCGGAGGAGCGCAGATAGTCGGAGGAAAGGGGGACTTGGAGCGGCGGATCGTGGAGGGGGAGCGGGATGCGCTGCCTGCCAATGGGAATGGGCACGCGGCGTCTTTGTCCGAGGGCGCGGTGAATGGAGGGGCAGTAAATGCAAACGCAAACGGGAAGCGGCGCACGCTCGGGGGACTGAATATCGGGCTGACGCTGACGTCCCTGCAGCCGCCGCCGCGCGGGAAGCGGTGGACGATGCAGTCGCGGCCGACGTCGTCCTCCTCCCGCGCCTCGTCGCACTCGCACGCCGCCCCCACGCGCGTCGACGAGGACGGCGGGGGCAGCCCGAGCACGACGGCGGGGACGGGGTCCTTCTACGCACACCCGCATGCGAATGGGAGCGCCGCGACTGCGGGGAGCTTTGGCGTGCCCGCGCACCCCGCGGCGTCGTCCGTGCGCCTCGGGCGCGACGTGGGGGAGGGCGGGAGCATAAATGGCCACAGCGTGCACCGGGAGGGGAGCATCAACGGGACCGCGCACAGGGAGGGGAGCCTGCGCAGTTCGCGCTCGCGGGCGTCGAGCGTGGGGACGCATGGCACGGGGCAGACGCAGCAGAACGGGAGCGGGAGCGGACAGGGAAGTGCGGGTGCGCAGGGACATGGCGGGCGCCGCTGGTCGACGCTCCCGCGCCGACTGACGCCGCCGTCGGCGCCCCCGCCTCTGCCCCCGCCAAGCGCGCCGCGCATCGCGCATCCGTACGCCGCGGCCGCCTCGCCGGAGCGGGAGCGCCCCCCGAGCCGCGCGAGCGGGCGCTCGTTTGGGAGCCGCAGCGGCGAGCTCGCCCTCTCCGCGTCGCCGGGCAAAATGCAGAGCACCTGGGGGCGCGGCGGGAAGCGTGCGTCGGGCGTGAGCGTGGGGAGCCAGGTGTCGATCGGGGGGACGAGCGAGAGTTCGGTGGCGGGCGCCGGGGTCGGGGTCGGAGTCGGGGGGGCTTCTGGGGCGGGGGTTGGTGTGGCTGCGGGAGGGAGGCATCGTGTGTCTGTGCCCCCGCCGCCGCGGCCCGCGCCGACGGGCGCGCTGCCGCCTGCGCCGGGGGAGCGCCCTGCGTCGGTCCGGAGCGGGTCGTCTTCGTTCCGCGAGAGCATGGCCCCGCCGTCGCTCGCGAGCAGCACCTCTCTCCCCGTGCAAGGGACAGGGCACACGAAGGCCATGTCCACGACGTCGACCGGGACTGGGACCGGTGGGAAGGCGTCGTTCCGCGAGTCGATGTCGCTCACGCACCGCGCGCTGCGGTTGTCGCTCATGGCGCCCAAGCCGCCGCCGGCGGGCGTGCTGCCACCGCGGCCCGACGAAGCGCCGTTGCAGGAGCCGGTGCAGAATGGGGGGCAGAACGGGCACGCGAGGAAGGGCAGCGGCGTGAGTGTCGGGGGCCGGGTGAGCATCAACAGCAACGGCAGCGGCGCGGGGCCGGCGTTCCCCCCGCCGCACGGCCCGCTACCGCCCACCCCCTCGTCGGCGCCCACCGCTGCGCCGGCGCCGGGCCACGTGCGGAACGCGTCGCTCAAGTTCAAGCACCGCATACGCATCCTCAGCGCGCCGGCCACGCCGCACGAACACGCACACGCGAACGCGCCGCCGCACGACCCACGCCGCACGAGCGCCGACAGCGGCGCGCGCCTGATGACTATCGCGAGCTTCCTCTCCGCGTCTACGCCGTCGACACCCACCAGCCCCGCGCCGCCCGCGCTTGCACAGCAGCCGCCGGTCGACGCGAGTGTCAATGTGACGCCCCCGCCGCCCGGGACGCCGATCGGGGAGAAGATCATCCAGTGGCACACGCAGAACGACCCCAGCTTCCTGCAGCTCGGCGCGGGGCCGCCGAGCGCGGCGTCGACGCCCGTGCTGCGCTCGCTGCCTGCGCTGCCCGCGGACCCGCCGCCGCCCGCGAGCGAGGGCGAGTACGCGGAGATCGTGTCGCTCTCGCCGCCGCCGCGCCGCGGGTCGCGCCAGATCTCCATCAAGGACGCGCCCACGCCGACGCGCACGCCGACACCCGAGCCCGAGCCCGAGCCGCACGCACCCCCCGGCAAGCTCTTCTCGCTCTCGCGCCACGGCTCCGTCATCTCCCTCGGCATCGTCACCGTTTAAACGCTATCTTTATTGTACATTTTTTAGATTTCGGGTTTCTGTTCTTGTATTTCTGCTACCGTTTTGGCTGACTGCTCTTTTTGGATTTCTTATACCTACACTTGTACCACCACCACTGCCCCGCTTGGGGGCACGGATCACCACTTACCGTATGCTAAAATGTACCGCTACTACAAAATCATACAAGTGATCATGAGTTGATGTCGAGGAGTCGAGGATGGCGATACCTCCGGCGCTAGCGTAAATCGCGCGTAGATCAACGTAGATCAGGCTCTTTGCTTACTCCTTACGGAGGCAGACAAGGCCCCCGGTCACTCACCCATAACTCCCTCCGTTTTTTTTTGAAAATTTTCGTTGATTTACTCTATGAAATTTGGCCTTTTGGAGCCTGATTTACTCTATGTTGGCCGGGTAATTCAAATTTTTCCTCCCGCTCAAAATTTTCGCTTTTTGGCCGCACCCACCGCCTCTGGTAGCCTTTCCCGCACCCCAAAAAGCGGTGCTCCCGTGGTCGTGTTGTTGTTAAATAATTGGCCCATGTTTGCTAACACCACCATCAAGGCTGAAATTGGACTCACATCGGCTCCAGCGGGCCCTCTGCTCAAAAAAATTTTCTCGAGTTCCGCCTGATCTACTCTATGGCGGAGGGAGATGAGGGCTTTAGACCTTGATTTACTCTATATCCAGTCCGGGAAAATCCAAATTTCGGCCTCTGATCTACTCTACCCCGGAGGGAGTTATGGGTGAGTGACCGGGGGCCTGGCAGACAGCACTCTTATTGTCTCATTTTTTTTTCTTGAATCTGAGACATCAGACTTTCTAGATCTGCAGAAAACTTGCTTGGACTTGATGCGGCTTGAATCGGGCCAAAAAGAGCTCAAGTCACCAGTGTCAAGCCACGGTGGCACAAAGATGACTAATCTACGTCCCAAACAGGCCAAAATACCCCTATCCGGCGGCGGCGAGGGCAAAGCCCACCGAGGCCCAGGCAAACAACGATGGATTCAATCTCGCCTCTACTTTTGGTGGGCGGTGGTCATCACTCGGCAGCTGATCTTAGTGGTTTGCCAGGAGGCTGGCAAATATCATTTTTATGGCCCAAAAAAGAATTATTCTGCA